TATAATTTTCTTAATTAAAGATTTTTTAACGCGGCACTTGCTAATGCAACACATGAATACACATACATCATGTCCTCTTTTTCACACCAGTTTGTTTTTCACTATGTTTTTCTATTGAGGTTCTTAACGAGACATGTGTATGATATAGTAATGTTCAAGGGAAAGTGTTGTAAATAAATATATGTAGACATTACTAGAGGAATTATATATGTTATGACTTATGATAATGCCTCTTCATCCTTTATGACATGTAGTTATATTGAAATTTGTTTACCATCTACATATTGGATGGAGTGATGAATAATAAAGGATTGATGTTTTTCGATGTATCTCGTCATCTCTTTATTTTGTTGTACACTATTATTTGTATTACTTTCTTATAATCGGAATACATATAATTTTACAATAGCGAAGAATTAATTGAACTACTATATTGTTTTTTTTTTTTTAGGTCAATTGAACTACTATATTGTTTTAAAAAAAATAATAATAACTACTATAATCAAAAGAAAATTAATTAGAAAATATTTTAATATACTATTGACTCTATTGCAAAGTAGTATATGTTTTATACTTTCTCTATCTATTGCAGCCCAAAGAGTCAAGACCCCACCACCAGGGTTCGATCATATGACCTTCCCACAAGGAAAGTCATCGAGGTGTCATCTGAGCATAAGGTGCTTGAATATACTATATATACGCTACTTGTATTTTAAAAAATTACCAGATTCCTGTATATAGTATTTTAAAATTTTAAAATCCTAACAATTATAGCATTTCTTAATTTATTCTTCTACTAATATTGTGATCTAATTACTTCTTACCCTAATTAATATAGTCTACAAAATCGTTTCACTTGTTGTTTAATTTATTTTCACTTATTGTTTAATTTATTTCCGTTTAATGGATTCCAACAACATTAATTATTTAACTACATCTAATGATTTTTTTTAAAAAAAAATTCATTCAAGGACATAAATTTTATATCGAATGATTATAACACGATATCCCCTAAAATCGTATTTTGAAATTTTGGTACCACATAAATTGTATCCTTAAGAATGTTTAACACGTCTATGGAAAGTGGGTCCACTTGAATAATGGCATTTGACATATTTAGCACTTAATTAGTGAGACCCACTCATACCACATCTATCAGGACCTACTCAAATTATTGTGTTTTATATTGAGATTATTAAAATCATGACATATAGTGGGGTTCTTGAAACCATGATTTATAGTTGTGTGCCTCACTCAATCCGTATTTTGCCAGGAGATCCACTCAAATCGTGTTTTGTATTGAGATTCTTAAAATCATGCTTTGTAGTGGTGAACCATACTCAAACAGCGATTTGCCAAGGGACCACTCAAATTGTATTTTTTTATTGGGATTCTTAAAGTCGTGACTTGTAGTAGGTTTTTCAAACTGTGTTTTGTCGCTGTGGGCCTCACTCAACCTATGTTTTGCTAAGAGATCCAATTAAATCATGTTTTGTGTTGAGTTTCTTTAAATCATGCTTTGTAGTGGTGGCCCCAACTCAAACGGGATTTTGTCCGGGGACGCACTCAAATCATTTTTGTTCTAAGATTTTTAAAATCGTGACTTGTAGCAGGGTCCTTCTAACCGTGTTTTGTAGTTGTGGGCCCCACTTAACTGTTGATTTGCAAAGAGATCCACTCAAATCGAATTTTGTATTGAGATTCTAAAAATTATGCTTTGTAGAGGTGGGCCCCACTAGAATGACATTTTTTCAGAGGACCCACTCAAATCCTATTTTGTATTGGTATTTTTAAAATCGTGCTTTGTAGTGGTGGGCCTCACTAGCTCAAATGATGCTTTGCCAGGGGACCCACACAAAACATGTTTTGTATTGAGACTCTTAAAGTCATGCCCCGTAGTGGTGGGCCCCACATCATACGCGTTTTGCCTCTGAACCCAGTCAAATATATACCCTTATATCGCGTTTTATGAAATGTATTTTTCTTTTTTTCTAAATCTCCAAACGGCGACCTTCCGAAAAAAGAAAGACTAAGAGATAGAAAGAAACGAGATGAGGAAGAGCAGAGCATGGAGTGAGAGAAAAACCAGAGAAGAGAATAAGTGAAGTGTTTGTGGATTTATTTGAGAGAGAAAAAGTTGGCGGTAAAATGAAGGGTTGCTCGAGAAACGAAGATTTATTCGCAATGTAAAAAAACTAGACAACCCTCCGCGACCCTTCTTTAAAGAAGAGTTTCAGAAAGTTTTTATTTTTATTTTTAAATTCACTCTCCAAAACCTTGTCCTAGTTCAATTTTTAATTTTTTAAATTCTGTGTTTTTTGTTAAGAAACCGCATCCTATTTTTTCAAAAAAAAAAAAAAAAAAAAGGTCGCGGTTTCTTTTTCATTTATTTACGATTATGTCATGGCATTTTTTTTTAACAATACACCACCCTTCTTTAAATAAGGGAAACCTAAAGTCACATTTCTTTGCTCTTTTTGTACTAGTGTCAAATCGTGTTATTCGTGGGACCGAATCAAGCCTTGTCATGGTGGGACTACTAAAACTTTGTTCTGCCCACCCGTAAAAATATGTTCTGCCCACGGGTAAAACCATGTTCTGCCCATCGTGTACTAAAACCATGTTCTGCCCACCGCGTACTAAAACCATGTTCTATAGTGGTGGGACCACTAAAACCTTGTTTTGAACCATGCCACCCACTATAAATAGGGCTCCATTTACACCGGTTTCCATCATCCTAATATGTATATCTATCTCCTTCTCCCACATAAATCTTGAATGATATGTGGTTTTTTTTTTTCTTGTGAGGCATACAATTGACAAAGCTTTCTCTTTATTTGCTTTATGCTTTTTTTTATTATTATTAAATGTAATTATATTGCTTTTCATGTTACAGAGGTGGCTATACCATTTGCAATGAAACAATTAAGACCGTTGTTTGGATCATATTATATGTTGAAGAAACTTAGTGCAGGCGTGCGATGTTTGGGCATGAAAGAGATTAGTATATGTAAGAGCCTTCCTACTCAAAAACTGACGATTTTTGGCTCAAGATTGATGTCCTTTCAAATTTTCTTTGTGATTATTGACTCCAAACTTGAATTTCCTAAAGTTGCTTTCGAATTAACCATTATTGATAAGGGTATAGAATTATAAATTGAACCAATTCAAACCATCAAATGATAAAGGTATAAATTGAACCAAACACATAAAATTGGAGTGGGAGTATATCTATGTATAATATAAAGACAATTAATTTTTGCATAAAATTGGACGAGGTCAGTTTCCACTTGACTTTCAATTCCAGGAGGAGAGCCTAAGGGGACGGCCAGGTTATGAGCACCTAAATGATCCCCGACCTTCATGTTTTGATTGAGGCAGATCAGAACTACCAATCAATATTGTTGATTCACAGCTGAAACAAGCCAGTGAAATTATTGAAGAACTGCTCAACAGGACCTTCTGTCGTCATTGCTGATAAACAACTTCCATGCTTTTAGATGCATGCTTGATATCATGACAGTGCCAACAAGTAATCTACCATCCTGGGTGTCGGACTTTGTCGTGGAAATATGTTCGTCCTCTGATCTATATACCAACTGGCCATCACCTCTGTTACTGATTTGATTTGTTTGTTCTTGACCTATAGTTGATAACAACAAATTATTATTTGAACCATAGTCCATACAGTGCTCTGTGGACCATAACAAAAAGTACATTTTTTATATATACTAAAATACATTATTCGTGTACTGAATATACATTATACAAAATAATGTATTTTCAATACACAAACAATGTACTTTTTCTGAATATAATGTACATTTTTAATATACTAAATGTCAATTATTTATGTATTGAATGTACATTATTTGATAATATGGTCGAAATGGTCATGTAGTTGTGTTTTAATGAAAGTATAGTGTATATAAAATAAAATTAAATAACATTTTCACATATTTGAGTGTATAAATATTGAATGAAACTGTAGTTATATCGAAATGAAACTGTAGTTGTGTTGAACTGAAACTGCAGTGTATATAAAATGAAATTGAAGAATAGAGTTATTTTTTTGTGAATTCCATTTCTTTTCAATTAAATAAAACAACATCATTTTGATGCGCGGTGCATAATCGATTATGCACCGCGGTGCACGATATAATTTGCCAATATATACCCTTATATCGCGTTTTGTGAAATGTATTTTTCTTTTTTTCTAAATCTCCGAACGGCGACCTTCCGAAAAAAGAAAGACTGAGAGATAGAAAGAGACGAGATGAGAAAGAGAGTGAGAGAAAGAAACAAAGAAGAGAAGAAGTGAAGAGTTTGTGGATTTATTTGAGAGAGAAAAAGTTGGTGGTGAAATGAAGGGTTGCACGAGAAACGAAGATTTATTCGCAATGTAAAAAATCTAGGTAACCTTCCGCGACCCTTCTTTAAAGAAGAGTTTCAGAAAGTTTTTATTTTTATTTTTAAATTTACTCTCCATGACACTTTTTCCAAGTTTAATTTTTAATTTTTTAAATTTCGTTTTTTTTTTATTTAAGAAACCGCATCCCATTTCTTCAAAAAAAAAGGGTCGCGGTTTCTTGTTCATTTATTTACGATTATGTCACGGCACTTTTTTTAACAATACACTACCCTTCTTTAAATAAGGGTAACCTTTTTTTTTTTTTTTTTTGAATGCTAAATAAGGGTAACCTAAAGTCACATTTCTTAGCTCTTTTTGTACTAGTGTCAAATCGTATTTTTCGTGGGACCGAATCAAGCCTTGTCATGATGGGACCACTAAAACTATGTTCTATCCACCCGTAAAACTATGTTCTGCCCACCGTGTACTAAAACTATTTTTTGCCCACCCGTAAAACTATGTTCTGCCCACCGTGTACTAAAACCATGTTCTATAGTGGTGGGACCACTAAAACTTTGTTTTAAACCATGCCACCCACTATAAAATAGGGCTCCATTTACTCCCTTTTTTATCATTCTAATATGTATACAATTAGGCTATAAATCTTGAATGGTATGTGTTTTTTTTTTTTTTTTTTGTTGCTTGTGAGGCATACAATTTACAAAGGTTTCTCTTTTATTTGCTTTATGTTTTTTTGTTAAATTATTAAATGTAATTATATTGCTTTTCATGTTACACAGGTGGCTATACCATTTGCAATGAAACAATTAAGACCCTTGTTTGGATCATATTGTATGATGAAGATGAGCTCCAAACCTCCATATATATTCTGAAGAAACTTAGTGCAGGCGTGCGATGTTTGTGCATGAAAGAGATTAGTAAGAGCCTTCCTACTCAAAAACTGACAATTTTTAATTTGGCTCAAGATTAATGTTCTTTCAAATTTTCTTTGTGATTATTCACTCCAAACTTCAATTTCCTAAAGTTGCTTTCGAATTAACCATTGAAGAACTGCTCAACAGGACCTTCAGGCATTGCTGGGATTTGCTGATAAACAACTTCCATGCTTTTAGATGCATGCTTGATATCATGACAGTGCCAATAAGTAATCTACCATCCTGAGTGTCGGGCTTTGTCGTGGAAATATGTTCGTCCTCTGATCTATATACCAACTGCCCATCACCTCTGTTACTGATTTGATTTGTTTGTTCTTGACCTATAGTTGATAATGACAAATTATCATGGTCCATACAGTGCTATGTGTACCATAATAAAAAGTATATTTTTCATGTATACTAAAAGTACATTATTCGTGTACTGAATGTACATTATACAAAATAATGTAATTTCAATACACAAATAATGTACTTTTTCTGAATATAATGTACATTTTTAATATACTAAAAGTCCATTATTTGTGTACTGAAGGTACATTTATTTGATAATATGCTCCTCAAGTTGCTCATACCATGGTTCACACAATAATGATCCGTTGATAAGTATGGTTGGTTTGCTATTCTTTTTCTTTTTTCTTAAGTGTAATTTATTCTATGTCAAAAATAAGTTTGATGTTATGAAGCTTGTGGTGAAAGTTTTACTCATAAGGTTGATGGTGCTGTTTGTCATAAACTCCTCTCTTGTACAAACTTTCATACAATTATACATAGTGTGTCCACTCTTATGTAAATTATATATCACATAGGCTTTATATGTTATGTTATCCATGTCTACTAATTATAAGTCACTTTCACTAACGTTTGTGTTTAATGTCAATTGTGTTACTAGTCAATTTGATATGAATTAAGATTGCAAGGAGTACTAGAAAAACACATGTAATTAAGTGTTTGTTTTGAACCTATGAATTAAGAGAAACTATAATACCCCCAGTTCAGTTTTCAAAAACAAAAAATAATAATAATACCCCCAGTTCAAAAAAAAAAAAAAAAAAAAAAAAAAAAAAAAAAAAAAAAAACAAAACAAAACAAAACCTTATTAGGATTACCAAATGGCCAATAAACTATAAATATGATATAGATGTAAAGCTAAAAAGAAAAATGCATGGGAAGAAAACTTGATTAAAAAAAAAAAAAAAAATGTTGTGCAAAGCAAATGTCGTCATTATCCTGCATGCATGTAACAAAATTGGATGTACTGTCCCATACCTTAACCAAACAATTTGCTAGAAACAATTCTACAACAGTGGACACCCTGTCTTGCATCAACAAGAAACAAATGTGGCACCACAACTCCCATCTATAAATTCACCCTCCCACTCCCTATTCATATCATTAAAAAATGCTCTCAAATTTAAACATTAATCTCTCATTTCCAAATATGTTTATCAATGATTAATAATATTACAGATCACATCCCTCTAGAAACTAGTTGATGGAAAATAATTTCTACAGCACCACATCATTATCCACTCTTTCATTGACTTCTCCCGCCCCATATTCACCTGAGTTCATCTCCAATTGGCCACCACAAGTCGGGAACAAATGTTAAGTTTCTAAATCACCACCACATGTTTGTGAAGCTGAAAAATATCTCTAATGGACGCATTATAGAGCATCGAGAAGCAGCTAAGCAGCCAAATCAATCTTCCAGACAAACATCACATCTGGCAGCAATTGGATCACTTCATGCAAATCAAAGCAGTTCAGTGCTTGCCAACTCGAAAAGTCCCTATTTTTACCATTTCTCAATCTACAAACTGCGGTAATCTATCACAGTGACTTCATCTTCAGGTGCATCAAGATCTTGATAGCTACAAAATGTCAAACTGCAGGTTAGTACTACAACCACCAACCATAAAACCAAAAATTAGCATCGCCTATGTCGGAGTCTAAAAAATTGGTAATTACAAGCCAAGATATTAGAATCATTAGCACCTCCATTTCACAGATTTTACTTGGTCAATTGCTGAAATATTAATGCTTTGCCGGTATGTCCAACAATGGAATTGGCAAGATTTCTAAAAGCTTGAATGGGAAAGAAGTCTCTAATCACTGATAAAACTATCCCTGCCAATCTATTGCTGTTACTAATCTTTTTTATCTAAAGATAAAATAGAAGAGCTACCTCTTCACAAGCTTACTGCATGCAACTGAACACGCTAGATTATTCATTAAACAGAATAATTTAACTCTACATTTAATTTCAGCTTAACTAGCAGGACCAGACTATATAACAAATACTAGATGAAGCATTTTGTCTAAAATAATAGTGGAAACGTCCTTCCCACTGAATTGAAGTGGTACAATTTTAATTGTGAGATTCCAGATTCCCTTTAAGTGTAGAACCTACAACTCTGACATCCCAATTTAGTAAAATGATGTTTGGTAAACACTAAATCTACATGTAGCATAAGAGATACTTGGACCTCAATAAAACTTATAAATTAATTTTGCTCTGGGTGGCAGAAGAATCAAGTATTAAATCATCTAGGTCATTGTTTTATCATCCAGAGTGAAATATTGTTAGCACAAACTCTAAAGTGAGTAATGTTATTGGTGTTGATGTACCAAATATTGTATTATTGTAACTCATATTTTGGTTTAGCATTAAAGGTTACTTGCAATCCAAGTGAAGAATCTTCAACCCATCGTATTAATGTTAAGCTCAATAAGTCAACAAAAATGTTTTTACACAAAGGCCAAGATGATTTTTGAGTCAGAAGTCGTAGAATTAAGAAGATTTTCCAAGCCTAGTGCTGCAGAACATGCCTGGCTGACATTTCAGTGAAACCCATCCACCAAACCTGTGCCCTATTCTGCCAAACAGCTAGTTTATATCCCCAAGTACTGCTAGACTTTTATCGCAAAATACAGTTAATGACAGGTTCTTCTATTCTAGACAGCCCTCTCGCCTTCTTCCTCCTCCCTCCAACAGGATGTGCACCATAGAACCCATATCAAATACTAAACCCCAGCCAACACAGAAACATAGCAAAGGCCAAATGGCAGTTAGATAGTATTGGCCTTCATCAAGGGGATGAGCCCTTAGGTAGTGGATTGGGCCTTTTGAAGTGCAAACAACTATAAAATACATGTCATAACGTTGCCGTTTAGAATTCCATTTCATTATTACTTTGCTTGATTGCTATATCTAAGTGTGATTGCATTGCTTTCTACAATTCTTTATTGCTTGTTCCTATCTTGCTAAATATATTCCACCCCCACCCCTCCCCACCCAATCCCGGCCCATCTTAGGTAAATTGGGACCTTCAAACATGACCAATAACTTTGGTCAGATGTGCAACAAATACATGCCTAATGTCAAACAAACACACCTTATGCTGTAAATAGAAAACTGCATTTAAAACTGATATAGTAACATGCAATCATCATAAAAGCAAACACTTAAAAACACAAGCTTACCTTCTTAAGCGCCTAGGATCCTGTCGAAGTGTAGGAGGTAAAGCAATGATTGGGGCTGGCCCACTTATTTGTGGCCCTGACCTGCCATTTCTACCACCTTCAAAAGAAGCAGGGCCACCTTGTTCTCGCAACATTTGCATTGCAACTTCCGGAGGTGCAGGAACAAAAGGCCCCAATGGACTAAAATGACAAGTTATTAGAAATAATTATAACATAGACATATTAAAATGAATTTAAGAAAACCATATATTTACTAAAATGCGAGAAGATATTTAAAATTACCCAGCCCCAGGAACAGGCATCAGCACGGGTGGAGGAACTATATCAGAAGGGAAACCAGCAACATGAATTCCTTGTCCACCAAAGGTATCAAACATTTGTTCATCAGGATTACCTCCATCTTTGGACTGGAAATCTGCCAATTGTGAGTTGTCAGCCCTATCAAATCTTTCACCAATGCGATCTCTGCGGCCACCTCTGTCGTCCTTCAGTCGGCCATCTAAACCAGGTCTGCGTCTCTGTGGCTTCTCTTTCTACCCAGTTCAAGCAGTTCAACATAACATAAAATGATGACATAAACACAGACATTATCACTACCCCAAAAAATAAAATAATAATGTAACTATGCCATCAATTTATCAAGATCTAAGCGAGCTTTTCAAAAGAAGGCAGAATCACATAGATCACAGATAGATTACAAGGAGGAAAATGTCTATCAATTATCAATAAACAAGCATGCAGCAGCAAGAAAAACATATCCCAATGTTAACCATGAGCAAATGATTATTCTCTTAATATAAAATATGTATGGCATAAAGCAAAGTGTTGATACATTCTATGCACAACATACCGGCAGAGAAGGCAGCATCACAGGAGTCCCACCAGGTGCATTTTCATCACTGGAATGATCAAAATTTAGTCAGTTTTGTAATGAAATTATTAAGAGATAAGGATAAAATGATAAAATTTCCTACCCTTACCTCATATAATTCTCAAAGTATAAATCTTCACGCACTTTAGAAGTCAGCTCCAACACCAATTCCGGATGTTTCAACTTCAAGTGTTTATGAACAAACTCAGCAGCATGAAAAAGTTTAGTGCAACCCTTGGCTCCACAACCATACTTCCATCCATATTTCTCATCTCTAATTTTTCGGACATATGGATCTAAACCTTCAACAGCAGCCGCATCGATCTTCTCTTTTGCTGTCATTATCTCCAGGGGATCCTGTCCCTTCAGCCTCTCTTGCCAATGTGAGTCTAGTTTAGTTTCCCAATCAGCCCCATTGCTTGTTGCATCAGAAGTCTTCCCATCAACTCTCACATGTCTGAGGCCCTTAGCTTCATTTGTTTCAGTCATACCATAGTAATCCACCCCATGAATGCGCCAGAGATAGGTGAGAAGGGTATCCAGCAGTTCAATCCCCTCAAGACCTTTAACTGAAGTTAAGCCCCTTACAATAATAACAGGGCCTGAGGAACCACTATGAGACTTATCCCTGTTCCCTCTTTCATTATCAGACCGAGATAGTATGTTATCTTCAATTCCCTTCTCTGCGTCAATCTTTCTAACCAGTGCCTGTGCCTGTTCAACATCAGTATGAATGCGTCTGGGCTCAGAACTCACTGGGTGAGCCTTTGGAGCAGCTGATAGTTCAGTGTCTTTAGCTGAACCCCTACCAAACCGTCTTCTTTTATCACTGCCATCTGCTTCATCATCAGAATTTGGCTCACTAGACTGTCCTGATTTGTTTGAAGTAGGGGTAACACCAGGACCTCTATTTCACATGCAGAAAGATTAGTGTTTAGTAACAAAATCAACACTAAACAGATAAACAAACTAAG